ACAGCAGCTCCTTCCAGCTGGAGATGGCCCAGGAGGGCTTCAGCGCCCTGCTCACCCCCGTAAGTGTCTCCCGGCCACCTGAGACCATCCCCAGGCCCATGGGGGGTCCCTGGGGCAGGACTGAGGGCTCTCCCCTCACCACTGCCCCCTCCCTGTCTTTACTGGGGCAGGAGGGGCCCGTACTGGGAGCGGTGGGCGCCTACGACTGGTCCGGAGGGGTCTTTGTCTACGACGGGAGCAAGGAGACCACCTTCGTCAACATGTCCCGAGCCTCCGGGGACATGAACGATGCCTACTTGGGTGAGGGGGGTCTGGGACGGGGAGGGACGGGTCCCCACCAGGGTCCTGGGGATGATGGTGTCCCCTGTGAGGGTCCTGGGGACGTCGGTGTCCTCTGGAGGGTCCCTGTGTGGGACGGGGGACATTGGGTTCCCAGGAGGTTCTTGGGGACATCAGGCTCTGGCGAGGGTCCCCATGAATGTGCTGGAGACATCGGTGTCCTCACAATGTTCCTGAGGTCACTGGTGCCCCCATGAGGTCCTGGGGGATGTTGGTGTCCTCACAAGGTCCTGGAGATGTTGGTGCCCCCATGAGGTTCCTGGAGATGTTGGTGGCCCTATGAGGTTCCTGGTGACACTGGTGGCCCCCACGAGCTCCTGGGGCCATCAGCGTCCCCCTCGGTCCCTTGGGACCGTGTCCCCTGCTCACCCCCGCTGTCCCCAGGCTACGCGGCCGAGTCCCTGTCCCTGCGGGGCCACCGAGTGCTGGCGCTGGGGGCCCCCCGCTACCGCCACGTTGGCCGCCTCCTCCTCTTCCTTGACCACAAACCTTGGGGTGCCTGGGAGCCCCTGGGGCCCCCCGCTACCGCCACGTTGGCCGCCTCCTCCTCTTCCTTCTCCATGAGCCTTGGGGTGCCTGGGAGCCCCTGGCTGAGGCCACCGGGACGCAGGTACCCTCGGGGACACGGGGAGGGGACGGGTACCGGGTGGGGGGCCGGGGACGCCGACCCAGGTCCGCTTCTTCTCCCCGCAGGTGGGCTCCTACTTCGGGGCGTCCCTCTGCGCCCTGGACGCCGACGGGGACGGCTCGGCCGAGGTGCTGCTGGTGGGGGCCCCCATGTTCTACGGGGGCGGCAGCGGGGGCCGCGTGGCCGTCTGCCCCCTGTCCCCCCGGGTGTCCCCCCAGGAGGGGCGGCTGCGGTGCCAGCAGACTCTGCAGGGACAGCCCGGCCACCCCTTGGGCCGCTTCGGGGCCAGCCTGGGGCACCTGGGGGACGTCGACGGGGACGGGTGGTCAGACGTGGCCGTGGGGGCCCCGCTGGAGGACGAGGAGCGGGGGGCCGTCTACGTCTTCCGTGGGAAGAAGGGGGGCGTCGCCTCCCAGTACAGCCAGGTGAGACCCGTCTTCTCCTGGTCCTGGGGGTGGGGATGGCCCCTTCTCCTGGGTGCTGGAGAAGCCTTGGATGCTGGAGGTATCCTGGGTGGTGGAGAAGTCCTAAGTGCTGGAGGCATCTTGGGTGCTGGAGGCATCTTGGGTGATGAAGACACTTTGTGAGCTATACATGTCTTGGCTGGTGGAGTCGTCTTGGGTGCTAGAGATGTTCTGGGTACTGGAGACATCTTGGGTGGTGGAGAAGCTCTGGGTGCTGTACATGTGGTGGAGACGTCTTGGGTGCTAGAAATGTTCTGGGTACTGGAGACATCTTGGGTGGTGGAGAAGCTCTGGGTGCTGTACATGTCTTGGGTGGTGGAGACGTCTTGGGTGGAGGAGGCGTCTTGGATGCTGAGAAGCTCCAGATGCCCACAATGTCCTGGAAGCTGGAGAGGCTCCAGCTCCTGAAGATGTCCCAGGTGCTGGGAACGTGGTGGGGGCCAGAGACCTCTCACCTCCTGGGGCCCTTCTGTCTCCCCAGCGCATCCCGGGTGCCCACTTCTCCAGTGGCCCACGCTACTTTGGCCAGGCCATCAGCGGTGGCCAGGACCTGACAGGGGACAGGCTGCCGGACGTGGCCGTGGGCGCCCAGGGACAGGTCCTGCTGCTCAGGTGGGCCTGGGGAACCCCCCTGGGGCCGTCCATGTGGGGGCTGGGGGAGGCTGTGGCCACCACCAACCCCCCTCCGGTTGTCACCGCCAGGTCCCAGCCGCTGCTCAAGGTCCGCCTGAAGGTGGATTTCCAGCCCCAGCAGATCCCCACAGCCGCCTTTGACTGCCAAGAGGAGGAAGCCCTCAAGGGGGAAGTGGCCAAGGCCACGATCTGCTTCCTCAGCAGCAAGAAAACCCCTGACAACTTTGGTGAGACCTCCCAGAACTCCACCTGAACTCCACCCCCAAAGCATCAGCAGGTGTCCCCAAGATGCCCTCAGAAGCGTATATTGACCCCCCAAACCCCTTCCCCGTGATGCCCAAAACCTCAGAAGTCCATCCGTCCTCCCAAAGCACCCCCAGTTGTCCTCAAGACCCACCAGAAGCCTGTCTTCTGGCCTCCCAAAGCACCTCCAGATGTCCTCAAGATCCCCAGTCCCCCTCCAGATGTCCCTAGATCCTTCAAAAGCCCACGTGGCCTCCTAAACCACCTCCAAATGTCCCCAAGTCCCCCAGAAGCCCACGTGGCCTCCTAAACC